ATGCCAACAATTGCTTTGAGCTATCAAAAATTCTTCTATAGAAGTTCAGATTTAGGTATTACTGTTTGCTGTCTTGTTCACAGACACTATTTTTATCTGATTTTAAATAAAAAAAAACATGACGAGCAGTGCTGCACATTATTTTGGTTAAAGGTTAAGTAGGTGTGTTTGACTAGGTGATCACTTGAGGTTTTGTCAGCCTTGCTTACTGTGATTTATAAGAGTTGGTTGTGTGAGACCAAGCATTTGATTGTTTAAAAGTAACACTTTAGGGGTAAAACCATTTTGTATGGCTCATTCTTCTTGTTATGAAATAAATTTTTGTAGTCTTACTTTATATTCTGATTTTTCATTCTACAGTCTGAAAAATTACCTGTGAACACTCACTCTTCATGTTTACCTGGCTCTTTGTATCGTCTATTTTCTTATAGACAAGTGTGTCTCTGAATAGCAATGCTAGCAAATTTTGATTTCTTGTCATCTTGGTTTAACTTGCTTATGCCTACTATAATATAATCTCCAATTTAATCTTTACCTGAGATTGGAATAATTATAGTGCATCTTTCTTCTTTTGAGTTCACACTGTGTCATTTTGCTTTGGTGCAAGAATGGGGAACTATGTATCCTTGGACTGATTTATTTTAGTGAAAATTTGTAGGGAATTGATATCCTTGAGATTCCTGCCCCACTGTTAGAACAAGTTTGGACTCCAAAGGTGTAAGGCACCTTTCTGTGTAGGTGAAGTATTACTGTATAAGTCTGAATTCCTTACAAAATCAGGCTAAGATAGGTTGTTTGCTGCACTGTATTTTTTTTTCTTGACTTTTAACATATGAGGCAGCATGAAAGCTGGCTTATGTTCTTAAGTGCTTATATACTACCTTTGCTGTTCTCATATGATTAGTTTATGGCTCTCATTGTAGCCATAGCTAATTTTACTCTTTAAAAATTGTACTTCTGTTATGAAGTTGGATGCTGTAGAAACCATTTCATTTCTGCACGCTATATTATCTCCATATTCCACAGAACTAAAACACCCTTTCTAGCTCACTTAATAAATACTCACCTCATATAGCATCTGCTTGCTTTCTTCCTCTACTGTGTGAGGGTAAAGCTTTTTTTTTCCAGCCTGCAAGTTTTTGAATGTGACCAAGTCAGTCATGAGGGACGATGTAATATGTATGCTGGTGTTCATGTACTTTTATCTCTCAGTAACTGAGAGGCAGCTTAACCCTGTTGCGTTTATTACAGGAGAAGTGTATGCATACGGACAATTAGCACAGAGTATTTGAACAGCTAGATTATCGTCTGCATGACTTATTTGCTCTCAGGCTTTGTTTCATTTGCCATGAGAAAGCTAAAAACAATTTCCAAGAGTGACCTGGATATTTTGTTCCTTCAGCGGCTTTCTCAGATTCTGAAAGACTTTCAGGCTCTGGAAGGTGGCTGATGGGAAGTGAATCATGAATATGAATCGGCATCTCTCCACCCTTATATCCAAAATGCTGTTGCTAGGATATTCTTTGTTTGCTACTCTTATCACATCATCACCTTTTTTAAATTCACTCTCTGTCATTCTTTCTTTAATTACATTCATATTCAAGCTGCTTGTGTTTCTCTGCAAGACCTTGACATAATCTTGTTCAACCTTTGCATCTGCTCTTCTGTTTTGCTGCCTTTGCTTCTCCTGAATCTTTCTCTGAGTTCCAGTTTTCTCTGTTTCGCTTCCTTTTTGTCCTGGATTGTCATCTACTGTGTGTGTGTGTTTTGCTAATGCTACCTTGTAACCATGGATTAGGGTATGCTTTTTTCCTTTTCTACTGAATGTATATTTTTTTGTATTAAAAAAATCTTGATTTTTGTCAGCTTGTTTTTACTCTCTCCCCACCACCACCCTGTTGTTATAGTCCATTGCAAAAATGAGCAGTTAAAAACAGAAGTGTTTTCTCAATTCACAAAGGTGAAGTGTTCATAAAGTTTGATGTGGGTCACCTCTTTAATTGAAATTTTAATGTTGTTAGCTTATTTTTGAAGTGACACTAAATGCTAACACAAAGACTTGTTTAGTTGGTGATTATACTTTATGTTTGAACGGAAATAATTTTGGTTAAAAGGGATGATAAGGTGAGAAGTCCCTAAGTTATTCAGAGAAATTTATTTTTTTAGGCTTTTTTTTCCTTCTAAGGAATAAGAAGGAAGTGGAAGGGAAAAGAAGTGGATGCTCACTCATTAGCTTATGTTCTTCTGATGAGAGATGCCACAGATTAATACTAAAGAATGAATTCTTGTAGCTGGAGGAACTTGCAGAAGATGTTTCCTAAGATGTTTCATCATCTTCAGCTTGCCTGCCCTATATGAGCCCTGTAGCTCAAATATCTTGAGCTTCCAAGTTTGGTTATTTCAGCTAGGTTGAGGAAGAACATCTGGGGTGTTTTTGTTTGGAGATACAACTTGTTCTTGTTTTCTTAAAGTGTGGCAGAAGATATAAAATGCCTCACAGAACTTTTGTATTTCTTTGAAATGCTTACAAGGAAGTATTACAAAAGTACTTCATCCAAAGTCATGAAACACTTTTTTTTGTTTAATGTATTAAGACAGCTAATTAAATCAGACATTTTATGAAAATGACACTAGCTCTCATTTTAAGACAGTTGGATCAAATACAGAATTAAAAAAAAGTTTTGTAAGCACTTCAGTGAATAAATCTTTGGAAGATCCCCCAAGACTACTGCTGATACAAAAAAACATAGCGTAGGAAATAATGGAATATATGCTCTGTTTTGCTTTTTTGACTCTTAGGGATGCAAAAGATGCAAAGAATCAGACATGGGGAAGAAAGTTAGTTGTGTTATTTAAGGCTATAAAGGTAATCCCAGTTCACTAAGTAAACCAGATCTCCTGGCATCTTCTGTGAGAGCAAGGCCCAAAGATTCTGTCCTTATTTTGAGTGATCTTGGCTACTATCATTCGGCAAATAAATGAAAATTCAGCCCCTGTTTTCCTCTCTGAAGATTAGTACAAATCCCTTTCTTTTGTATCTTCACGGTTTTCCTTTTCTGTTATGGAGCAACAGAAGCTTTTTCTTTTTTAATTTTTTTGAAATAGATTTTTCTGTCTCCCCCTGTGGTGGCATCAAGAGGCTAGAGACCATGTCAGTAGTAAAAGCTGGGGTTGCATCTTGAGACCGTGGGCAGCCCAGGCCAGATATACTTATGCTCTTGCAGGCTTTAATACTTTACAAAGCACTAGACAGGAGTTTCTTTCCCACAACACTTGGAAGCTGTTTCAGGTACTGTTTTGAGGCTGTCCATAGACTCCCATAGACTTGGGAGCATGTAACTCTGAATACACTTGAATCATATTTTCAGCTTTATTTTAGTTCTAATGTGCTCTTGCGTGCTCTCTCAACTGGGCTGATTTCTGATTGCAGAGTGGGACCTCTGGATCTTCTTTAAAAGCCTCATCTCTTCTTGGTTATTATGGAGCTTGAAATAGGAAATAGTAGATGAGTCATCTGATATGCAGGTAAAAGGCAGTATACAGCAGAGAGCTTTATATGGCTCTCAAGTCCAAATTTCTTTCTGAAAAATATGCCAGAAGTACTTGAAGCTTTCTAGTTCTACTGGTGAAATGAATGCTGCTTAAAAAGGCTGTTTTCATGAAATGAGTATGTAAGAGACATGATGCCAGAAACTCTTAGATGCCTAACTGAAGATGCTCAGAAATCCTTTGGAAAATTGTAATTAATTTGTTGTTAGCTAGAAAATGGGGATAATATTCAAGCAAGGAAGCCTGACTGGCTGGGGCTGAAAGAGCTAGCCCACCTCCCCTCTGTTCTCAGCCATGTACTCCTACAGGTGGCCCTGTGCTGGCATCAGGGGTCATTTGACACTGGTAAGGAACTAAACCATGAGAAAACAAATTCTGTTTTAAAAAGAAAAAAGAATGAGTCATACTCTGTTGGTGTAGCTCCTTGAATGAACTTGAAGGGATATAATCTGTTTTATCAGAGTAAGGTAGATCTCTTGGCTCTCAGTCAGAAGGATGGATGGTCCACTGCAGCCAGGAACAGGGAGGAGGGAATAGGCTCTCCCTACTTGGTCGCAGTGACCGCTTAAGAAATTAGAGAGTTTTCTTCTATGATCTTGTATTAAAAATTCTGAATTCTTCCTGTGGTAGCCTGTATTACAACAAATCTCATTGTCTATTTAGGGATACGTCTTCAGTTTTTTGCTGTTAAGCTCCATAATAGCATCTTAGAGAAAGATTATTTTAATTGGTCCTTAATTATTCTTTTTTTCAATTGGTCGACATTCAAGATATTGTGATAGACAGGGTTTGTTCATAAATGTGCCCCGTATGTTTCTGCTTTTCTGGATAACTTTTATATTGTATATTAGAAGTTAATACCTACTGTCTTCCAGAGGCATTTGCTTTCAGGGGTGTTGGGATATCTGTGTAATGTTCTTGAGTTATGATGAAAAAAATTACCAATTGAAGTTTTCTAGTTTATATAATGAGTAGGCACTGATGCCTCTTGATTTGCGCTGTGAGTTTCATATATATTTTTATATATATGAACTATATATATGTAGTTCTGAACACAGACCTTTGAACACCAGATACAGGAACCTGTAGAAAAAGAATCAGTTCTTAATAATCTGGTGTAGTGCGTATCCCATGTAGTAGAGCGTTATGGTTGACTAAGCTACTAATCATCATTTGGGGGTGTAGATAGAGTCTAAAATCAGCTTAAGCCTAGAATAATATTTAGTTCGGGCTTTGTGTCTTCTGAAAGTCTATATATGTTGCTCAGAGCCCAGTGAGGCTTTGGGGACAATATGTCTTTTCTCCACATGTTGTATCTACATATGCAATCTCATTTGTAGTTTATATGCATATTTGATGTGTAGAATATTAGAAAAACTGCCCATGAACAATGAGGAGTTGACTGTCTTACATGGCTTTGACAGCTTCAATAATTGTGTATTTTTGGTTTTGTGTTTTAGGAAATAAAATAATGCTAATGAAGCAACCATTTCCCTGAAGTTCAAGTTTTCAGGCTCACTGCCATTATGGGTAAGTCCTGTGTGTAATATATATAAAAATTTAATTTGGATACTTTTCATTTCTATTGAAGACCAAAAAAACATTAATGTAATACCATTCCTAGGAAATGTGTGCTTTGGCTGTGTAACCCAGTGTAACATCTACATGAAAGGCAGTGTTCAGTTGCTTTGCTAGTATTCAGAATACTTCTGTTTTTTTTCCATTGGAATACAGCACTTTTCCCTCACTATGTGGTAACTTAAAAATCCAAGTATAGGAAGTTGAGATTCATAGTATTAGGGTACTGAGCAATATTTACTGTGCTCTAAATTCTAATGGCTACTGGCAAAAAAAAAAAAACAAACCATAAAGTCTGTATTAGAGAATTTTATCATATTGTCTTGTGTCATTGCAGTGCAAAGCCAGGACTGTGTCGATGGTATAACTGTGTTTTTCTAAATATGTAGCACACTTGTATTCCTTTAAATTTGATGTTGATTTTTCAAGTTGTGCATGCATTTTAATAAGTTGACCATGTTTTTATTGTAATCACTTATCAGTGCTCACTCTCAAAAATCCCAACAAGCCAACCAACCAAACCACACATGTTTTTGTATCTCTTTTGTTTGTCTTTTATTGTTATGCTATTTTTTTCCTAACCTCATGTTTAATAATAAAGTAGCTGAATCTAGGAATACATCACACTTTAGACTTCTGATATTCTCCAACATTTTGTGTGACAGAAATGACTATTGATTCATATTGGATATTCAGTAAACTTTAGATGCTTTGCCACAATGCTTGGGTTTCCTTTGTATGAAATATGCTACCTAGTGACTGCTGGGAATTAAACCTCCTCTAACCAATTGCTAAAAGAACATATTTTTTTTTTTATTGCTGAGCACTAGAATAGGCTATAAAGCAATAAAATAGTTTAACTTTTTAAATTGTGGCAAGTTTTGAAGTGTGTTTTAGTGTGAGAAAGGAATAACTGAGCTGCAAGAATGCCTTCAGTTCTGCCATCAAATATTCTTGCTTTTATAGATTTGCATATCTTAGTAGAGTTATGAATAATGACAGCATGAGTGATGATCAAAGTTACTCATTTTCAGACCATCTGTTAGGAATCTATTAAATTAGAACACTGAAATCCCATCATTTCCTGATATGACAAATGTATTGGGTTATATTTGAACGGAGTGTGAAGGAATTCTCATCATTGCTGAATACCTGGAATGCTTGTTTGCTGATTTTTTTTAATGCTGGGGTTTTTCTCAGTTCCGTGTTTCAGAAATACCGTTCTTTATAAATCACAGCACTTAACAATGAAATCTTCAACAAACATATCCATTGTGAAGTAGTGTGAAGGCATACAATCAACACCTTTGCAGATAAATGTTGTTAGCCAGTATTCTAGATGCATGTTGAGTATAGTACTGTTGCTGTGGCAAGGAATTAATACAAAATATTAGTGACAAATGAATTTCCCTTAGTGATGGATGTACAGGCTTTTGAGCTCCTAAGTGCTTTTATGTCTAAAGGAGCATCCCAGTTCCAGGGCAAACCTTGTCTAGCATGGCCTCAGGCCATCACAGCTGCAGCAGATCCATCAGGATTTAGGATTTAGTGTGAACCTGAAATCTAAGCTGCGTAGCACTCCTGCCCCTAAATTGTCCCCTGGGTTCAGTGCTTCTGTTTCTCTTTGTGAATTACTCCTGTAAGCTCTGAAAAACCCTACATTTGCAGTCCTGGAAAAGTTCTGTGGTGTTTTGTTTTTGTTTTAAATTACTCTGTGGGCTGTCAGCAGATGCTCAAACAGTGGAGATGTTCCTCTAGGAGTTTGTGTATGCTTCCTATGTGCATGGCCGTACCTGTTCAGGACAGAGGAAAAATGATTCAAAAGTACTTGCTTTTCTTTTTCTTTATTTTACGAATTGGGGGTGGGAGGGAGTGTGATTTCTAGCAAACATCTCATTCATGGACTTTATTTGAAACAAAGTAGATAAACCCCCTTTTTTTTCCCCCCACCCTTCTCTAACTAGTACAGCCTGCATTTCTGTAGAGTTGTCAATCTCTGCTATGACTTCAGCTTTTTAAACCTGCCATTTAAGTGTGTTTACTGATTAAGCTGTTTATTTCCTTAGGCACTGTTAATGATAAATAAAATAAAAATGTTTGCAACATGGCAGTAATTTTTTTTAGTTTGGCAGTTATGTATTGAAGTGTAATATGGACTTCTAGATTTTAGAATAATGCCTGCCTAATTGTGAAATGAGACAGTAATGCACTTCAAATGTAAGTCATTTACACTTCTCTTATCTTGTCTTTTTCTCTGAGCAGATGAGCAGCAAGCTTTGAATTCAATCATGCAGGATTTGGCTGTGCTTCATAAGGCCAGTCGTCCTGTATTGCCCCAGCAAGAAACAGGAAAACCAAAGTCATCTTCGCCTAAAAAACAGGTAATCTTTTAATATCCTTACTAACCTACTGAACATGGAATGTCCTGCTGTGACTTCTATAATTATTTTTCTTGCCAGACCAGTGAGCATATCAGAATAAGCTATTAGTCTCCCACATGTGCTGCTATTTTCTTTGTTCGTGGTCTTAAATTAGCAGCAAAATGAAATGGTGGCATTTCAGATCAGTTCATAGTGTATGCTTAAATGACTCCGATCCTGATAAATTGAAGATCATAGGGGTGTTTTGACACTGTATGTAGATTTTTATTATTATTGTTGTTGTCACTATTACTTGATTGGTACTAGACTGTTTTAAAATATCAAGGAGTGCTAGCATCTCTTATTTGGAATGCTGCTTTAGAATGAATTTTACAGGTATACTAGATTGCCCAGTTGTCAGCTATGTCATACTAAAGAATGTCAGTGCGACAGCAGAAACGTACTTAAGCTCCTTTACCGCATCTTTGGCCTCAATTTTTTGTTTGTTTGTGTGTTGGAAATGTGAGTTCTTTTCAATTCTTTTTTTTTTTTTTCTGCAGATACTGAACACAGATGGAATAGTAGTAAATACTTAGTTGATAGGTTTGAACTACTATATGGAGAGATTAGGAGAGGATGTGGATTTTTACCCAAATTGTTATAATAGCCCTATTGAATTAACTGTATGTTTATTTGATTGGATCCTTAATTGACAGTCCAATATTTCATGAAACTTCATTTTGTGCAGTCTTGTTTTAACCTGTTAAAGATCAAAGTATTTGAATATATTTGGCTCTTAAATTGTCAAAAACTGATGGCTACATCTTTTTCATTCTGTGCTTTAAAAGCTGTAAGAGTCCAGTATATAACACAGCGGTGCTGTGCTAGTGTCATATAACTCACTTCTGAGCTGTGACTTTAGACATTCAAGTAATGTGCATATATGATCCAAAATGATCTGAATATAATACATGTTTAGAAAGTTAGAAGAAAAATAGTTCAGCCATTTCTGAGTATAATGTGGTAAGGGGGAAATACATGTTTGTCATTCTGTTTAAATTTGTTAATTTTGAAAGTAATCACTTGTGAATCAAGTAATTCTTTTGGAAGATACAACATTGTTATTTGGATATAACCTCTGTGGTTGAATGCATTTTTTTTTCCTGCAATAGTTGCTAATGCAAAATAATAATTTTAAGAATCAAATTGTAAAACAATTTTATTTCCATGTAGCTGCAGATATTTACAGGTATCTTTGTTATTGGGAAATCGATTGCGTGAATGCTGGCTTAATTACATATTTAGGTTTCTATGGTAATACTTATGAAACAAGATATGTTTCTTAAGCTTGGAACGCTCAGCTCTGAAGTGTACATAAAAACCTGTTATGGTAGCTAAGTCTACCTGCCTGTTCATGATGGAGGATTCTTTGGTAATCAGTTCCACGCTGAATTTGAAATCATGAATCTGTTATAATATTCAAATATATTGATAGACAATAATGTGTTTACTTACAGAAGCATTCGTTGTACTTCAGAATAATTTTTTGTATTTTTTACACACTTTAAGCCTCTGTCAGATACCTCAGCTGAAGTAGGTTGTTAAAATGCTTGGTATATCAGACAGGACAGAAAATTAATACGGACTGCTTAAGGATTTTACTTCTGGTGTAGGATTATTGAATGGGATTTCATGGCCTTCATTAAAGGAGGTAGTAACAAACTAATAGCGGTTCTTTTATCTCTCTTCTTACAGAATGATGTTAGAGTCAAATTTGAACATCGAGGTGAAAAAAGGTAAGGTGGGAACACAGGAAACAGTCTTGTCTTTTAATTATTTATAGAATTTTGTTGGCCTCCTATTATAAAGTTTCAAATAAATTGTTAGTGTTTCAGATATCTGAGTGTATTTGCTTTGAGCTTAAATTTTATTTTGATATGAACACAATTTAAGAATTAATCTGTTTAAAATGTGGGCTCTAAGTATGCATAAATGCAGAATTATCTTACTGTATCTATGTCCCATGTAATATCCTTCATTTGTTTACCCTTCAGATACATGTTTGTAGTCTAGAACAACTACTTAAATCGTTAGCATAATCTCAAATATGAGTAGACCAGCAAATAATTTTTTTGCTGCATCATGTGTGTAATAAATGCATGATAACATATTGTAACTGTAACACCCAGAGGAAGAAGCCTCGATCTTAAAGCTCAATGTTGGATTGTACTTTGGAGGAACCAATCTGAGAACTGTAATAGGAAAATTGATTAGACTTTATAATTAGATTGTTTTCATTGATAATTTTGAATAATCCGTTAAAATTTATTTTCATTTGGTGTATGAGAGGTGAATGATGTACATGCTTAAAGTATACAAACATCTACCTCTATATCTCTCTGCTCTGATGGCTGCTCAAAAGCTTTTACAGAAGTTGATCTACAATTCCGTGCAGAACTGGTTTGTGGACAACTCATTTTGTCTGTCTCTTTCTGAAAGCAGTACCTACAGAGAAATGGTTATAGAATAAGATCTTTGAAAATACTTAATGAAGCAGGAAGTAATATCCTGGTCATGCTATTTGTCAATAGAAATGGTAAATTCCTTAAGTAAAGATTGCTTCAGAATGAAACCTGTGCTACTTTTGGGCAGTCCTTATTGTGGTGTGCAATTGATCAGTGTGTATCCATGCTGATTACAGTATGTGCCCTCCCTTTATGTGGGGTAATAAGATAGCAGTAATTTCCCTAGGTATTAACCTTCTTCAGCTGCTTTCTATCACTTTTCTGAACGTCACATGTAGCAGTGCATGGTTGAGTGCTATAAGTAATTTGGAGGAAATAAGTCTTTTCAAAAGCTTTGAAAATTAAGGACTCTTCTACCTAGCAATTTCTTGTGAAATAAGTGGAAACATGAAATTTAAGAGAGAACTGTTTACTCGCTGCCAGTCTGCACGGGCAGTGCATTTTTGCAGTTTATCTTAATTCACTTTCACAGTGGACTAAGTTAATCAATGCAATATGAATACAAGCATAAGGTAAGTGTGTGGAAAGATACCTTTCCCAAGCTTTTATGCTGATGGGCCTCGCTCTGTTTCAGACCGTCCCAAGTAACTTGAGCCTGCTTGCCCAGGCATACTGGGCAGCCCAGGCTCATTGCTCAGCATGAGTTACAATACTTCTGTTGCCTGAGCACGTAGATCTAAAGATAAATTAATGAAGTGATGCAAGAAAGATAAGTTATGCAATGGCTTTCTCACTACTTTTTAAAAAGGGAAGTGGAAAAAAGAAGTGATTCCAAGAGTTTCTTTTGGTAGTGAATGTGGCACTCTGTACCAAGGAACGTGCACTGTGATGGGCAGAGTTCCAGGCTTGCTAAACAAATCGTTAACTACAGTGAGAATTGGTGTTGAGTTTGTTTTGGTTTTTTTCACGATTTTATTTTTCAAAATAATTTTTAATTTGAAGTGGCCTGGCTTCTAGCCTCATTTCAGTGAGAAATATTGTTCCGTAACCAGGATACCAATTGAAACACTGAAAAAAGAGACAGTTATTCTTTGCTAATTTTTCTGCTTCGTAAAATTTGAGTGCTGTTTCTTTTTTGAATGTGAATTGAATGTACCTCACTAGTTTAGTCACTTCTAAAAACTTTTTTTTGTTGTTTAATGGTGGTATGTCTCAAATAATAGTTTTCTGTAGCAAAAGGTCAGGTACAGGCATTTTGGGTTATTTGGTTTGACGAGACATTCAGTTAAAGGAAAATCTGAGTTGTTGACCTACAACTGCACCATTCTTACAGGAGCACACTTGAAGCACAGTTAGTGATGGACTCAGCAGTTTGAGTGTGTAATTCATTATGGTAAAGATGGTGACATTTAGTTACATTCCTCAGATGAGGTAATCGACTGGATTTCCAAAAAATGGGAATTACTGTAGAGTAATTCCTTTCTGATACTTAACGCTTGTCAGCCTATGGTACTCCATTGTCTTAGTTTTCTGAAGTAGAAAAGTTTTTAGAAGTTTCTAAGAATTTGCCTCTGGAATGGAGGCATGCGAAGCATTAAGCTAAGAAAGAAGCCATATGCAAGCAAGTAAAATAGTCATAATGAGATCTAATTTTATGTGTGATTATCCCTTATAACTTCTTCACTGCTTTTCTGTCTTTTTTTAATGACTCAAAATATGGAGGTGTCGTGGTTTAACCTCAGCCGGCAACTGAGCACCACGCAGCTGCTCGCTCACTCCCCCATGGTGGGATGGGGGAGAGAATTGGAAGGGTAAAAGTGAGAAAACTCGTGGGTTGAGATAAAAACAGTTTAATAGGTAAAGCAAAAGCCGCGCACACAAGCAAAGCAAAACAAGGAATTCATTCACTCCTTCCCATCGGCAGGCAGGTGTTCAGCCATCTCCAGGAAAGCAGGGCTCCATCACGCGTAACGGTTACTTGGGAAGACAAACACCATCACTCCAAACGTCCCCCCCTTCCTTCTTCTTCCCCCAGCTTTATATACTGAGCATGATGTCACATGGTATGGGATATCCCTTTGGCCAGTTTGGGCCAGCTGTCCTGGCTGTGCCCCCTCCCAGCTTCTTGTGCACCTCCAGCCTTCTCAGTCGGTAGAGCATGGGAAGCTGAAAAGTCCTTGACTAGTGTAAGCACTGCTTAGCAACAACTAAAACATCAGTGTGTTATCAACATTGTTCTCACCCTAACTCCAAAACACAGCACTGTACCAGCCACCAGGAAGGAAATCAACTCTATCCCTGCCGAAACCAGGACAGGAGGACAGTGAATAAAGCATAGCCTCGTGGTCTTTTTAGTAATAAATTTAATTCTAAGATCGCTCTTAAGTGATATTAGTTGATCATCAGCAACGCGTTGCCAGATTTTCATAAGTAATGGACAAAAATTCTTTATAACTTAAATTGTGTTTCAGGATCCTGCAATTACCAAGGCCTGTTAAACTTGAAGATCTTGCAGCTAAAGCTAAAGTTGCTTTTGGACAGACTATGGATTTACATTACAGCAATAATGAGGTAATATTCTGTGTCTTCTAAATTCTCAGTGACTTGTACATTGATTATTTTAAGGCTGAAATTTGCTCTCATAAGCAGTGAGAACCACTCCTGTGACAAAACTTACTCCCGTGACAAAACCGCAGATTACTAATGTGCGTGTTCTCAAATATGTAAGGCTTGTCTAAATTAGGATAGGCAGGAGAAGCATGAAATGTTTTATGAGAAGAGTCATACCTTAATAAATCATGTCTCAGACTTGATCAAGAATGGGTAAATTGTCTTCCTGTTCTGCCACAGTCCTGTTGCTTGACTTTGGGATACTCTTCACTGCATTGAGCTTTGTCATGTTTGTGAATTTGAAATAACATTTATCCTTTCTTGTACACTTTTTTCTTTAAGGATTAATCTTGTTAGGTAATTGCTAGAATGTTGCATTTAGTAATGTTTGGATTGGAAAACTAGGCTTAACTGTTGCTCCTCTTAAAGTGGCTGGTTCACAAAGATTTCTTGGGAACAGTGGTAGGGCTGTCAAGCCACTTACGCCTGATCAAGATTACTTCCAGCTTTCCTTTAGCAGTAGAGATGGAATTCTTAATAGGAAATATATTTACAGATGCAGGATCCATTCTTAGGAGTTCTGTTTTTTTGCCTTGAGTCAGCAAAGCGTATGTAGGATTATTTGTGTGCTTGGTTATGCACAACATAATTGCTGTATCTAATCTGCATCTTTGCAGAAGAAAATGCCTGTTACTGCTGTTTGTTGGTTACTCATTACCTTACCAGGTACTTCTGTGAAACTGATCCTCAAAATGAAGATTTCCTACAAAAGCTTTTGGAGATTAGGAAGGTCAGAAGAAATGGCCATTCGTGATGCTTTAGCCTCAGCTCCTTTCTCTGATAGATTTTCAGGCATTTGAGCAGGTTCTCTGCTTGTCATCTTCTGCACTAGTTGGCGAATCATCCCATCACCTTTCAGAAATGTGATGGTAATAACCTGTCATTAACATTAAAACTGCAACTTAACAAATGACCGTACTCTTCATTTTATCAAGACCTTCATCCCTCATTTTCATTTCTTTTTGTATAGAAGTATTGTATGTCAACTGATGTTGTATTTGAGCGTCACTGAGACTGTTTACCAGTAGAGTAGCTTTTAAAAAATCTATATTGCGCTGTTCCTTTGTTACAAGCAGAAGTTGTAATTTACACTCCTGAAACATAAGCCCAATTTTAATGGTTACAGAACTCAGATCCCAAGTGTACTTTAACGGCATATCATTTTCTGTTCTAAAGATATATGTATGCCAAGTTAATTGTGATTAATTAGATCTAAGGAGATTCTAGTGAGGACTACAGTTGTTCCATGTGGATCACATCATGCCTGATAACTTCCTTAACAAATTCTGTTATTCAATGGAGAAATTCTGTTAGTAATACGACTTCAAATAAATATAGTTGTAATATTGTGAGATAAAAATAAGTCCTATTATATAGAGCATAAAGCACATTTTTCTATTTATCTTATAGACTTGCATTAATTTAGGTGTTGGAAATACACTGACACTGTTGCACATGTTTCTCTGAAACTTGTAAGATATTAAGTTGTACATGTGTAAAATGGTTGCTCCTTCATTGTGAAGACTTGTTCTACCATGCTGTACCTACTGAAGGCATCTGAAGGAAGAGTTAAGGTTGAACTGCAGACATTTTGGTGGTAACTTGAGGCATCGTTCAATAAATTTTATTTTCAAGTTGTTTGGAATGAAAGGAAAGACAGCATCAGTTTATTTGTTTCTCTGCACTTGACTTCCTCATTTCTTTCTTGTGTCCTGTTTGAGACATCTTTTAATTTTTTTTTCCCCCTCTTTGTAGCTTTTAATTCCATTAACCACACAGGATGACCTGGACAAAGCTGTTGAACTGCTTGACCGTAGTGTTCATATGAAAAGTCTCAAGATATTACTTGTAATACATGGAAATACACAGGTATGAGTTGACATGCTAAATGTCTTTTTTCTCAGTTTTTATATTGAAGTATAATTTGTATCTTTTCCTAAAGATGACATTTTTCCAATTCAAAATATTACTGATTGCTTCTTCAGTTCAGTTTAAGCATGTATTACCATTTTGTATTGACTCGGTTTTAACTTTTTCCTAGATACTGTTCCTCTCTCTTTGTATGCCTTCCCTACAGTGCTACAAAAATGTTCCTTAATAGGATGATGATGTGATACAAATTTGAGAACCACATAGAATTTCACGTAACTGTAGCTATTTGGAACTGTTCTTTAAGTCATATGCTGGTGACACTCCTTTATTGTAAATTAAATGTTTGTTGTAGCAAACAGTAGCAGTGGACTATAGGCTAATTACTGAGCTATTTTGGTATTATCTATCACACCACAGCCATGATATTGATAGGATTTGTATACTAGTACATATTGAAAATTATTTTTTTAAATATTAAGAATGAGCTACTAAAATAGATTAATTTTGATATAAATTGACAAGCTTCTTTTCAACTGCTTGAAAAAAGGAATGTGTTGCACAAAGCCTTTAAAAGTTTGCAAAGTATTTTCATTGTCAGGAGTATGAAGTAATAATTGCAGTTTGTAATATGTACGCATTTTCAGTCACCCAGTGTAAATAAAGTGGAACACTTGCCCTCATTGGAAGACTTAGATAATACAGTGTTTGGTGTGACAGACAGAAAAAGGCGGATGTCTGTAATAGGTAAGATACATATTTCAATAGCTTTAATTGTAAAAACTTTTCTTTTGTAATAGTCTCTTTGTGAATATCTTGTTCTCAACACAGACTCTTTGAATTTCTTATTCATCAATGACTTGTCATACTGTAGAGTTTGCACTCAGGAGAGTGGATTTTGAATTTGAAGTCACCAGTGGTTTAAATATATATATATATAGTACAGAAAATTAACAAAAAAAATGACAAGTAAATAAACCTATGTAGAATTATTTGAGGTAACTGATGGGTATCCTAGAAATTTGATGTTAGTACTCCCCTTTATTTTCAGATACAGGAATGAGTTACTGAAAAATCTGTTTGTTTATATGGCGGTGAGTTTCCTTGCTCAATTTAGGACTCCCATTTTTTTTAATCTTAATGTGTGAACATTTAAGATACTTATTTTGGCATTGATATAATCTTTTTGCCTATTCATGTTCTAAAGTTGGTGTGGTTAACTTCCAAATTTAATTATGAAACTAGAGAGTTTAATGAATAATTTTTCAGGCAATTTAATTTATTATGCATTTATTATGAACAGAGGTATTCATGTTCTTGCAGATGTTAGTATACTACAAAGAAAAACTGAAATTTTCAAGAGTTGGAAAGGATTAGTTGACATGGGTGGAAGGGTTTGGATTTTTGTTTTGTTTCAAAGGAAGAAATTTACCCAGCTAGATGTGTGGGCAAATTATATTTCTGTTCCTGTATAATGAAAATTCTTTTTAATGCCATTGAGGCAACCCTGCCCTGAATTTTTCATAGTTCCTGGATTACAGATTTTAAATGCTATATGTAAGTCTTGTATTGCACGGGCATTTGGGGAATCTCTAAAGCAAGAAGTGATCCAGGCAGGCTCAGTGCCTATGAAGCATTTGAATAAAGCCCCTGGATTCTGGGTTAGTGAAGAGACTCTGACTAGCCCTTTTCTTTCAAAAGGTTCTAATACTCGTGATCGGAGTTCACCTCCCCCAGGATACATTCCAGATGAGCTGCATCAGGTGGCCCGAAATGGGTCCTTCACCAGTATCAACAGTGAGGGTGAATTCATTCCAGAAAGTATGGATCAGGTACGTGTGTGTCTTATTAAAATTAAAGCTTTTGTTAGGTTGATTTATGAAATACTGCTGTTCAAGAAGGATATGGAATTGATAGAAAGAACAGCTTAAAAAAAAATGATGATGACCCTAGAAAACATGATCTGTGAGAGAAGGTTAAAATAACTGTGGTTATCTAGTCTTGTAGAACCTGTTTTTTCTCTAAGTCTCTTCAATTATTTAAATATGTTGCTACAAGGAGAAAGATAATATTCTTAATTTCCATGATAGTTGAGTGAGGTAGTGATAGGTATAAATTACAGCAAGAGATGTCTACATTAGAAAGCACAAAAACCTTCATTTTAATTAGAAGGATATGTAAGCAAGACAGTTTTACAACTTTCCCAGGTAATCAAAGGAGATTTTAAAGAAAAGTTTGGATCTGTCAGAGTTATTTGGAATCAGTTTATACTGTGTTGGGGTAGAGGCAAGGGGGTGGTGATGGGCCTGGTATAAATAAGCTCTGAAATACTTTCACAGTCACGTTTTCAGGGGTGTGTGTGTCACAACTATATGCTATTTTGTTCTCCTTATTCACTTGCATTATTGGTGTGGGATATCGGCACGCTTAGCACGAATAAAAATCCTGTGCTCTGAATATCAAAATTGCCCTTAAAAACAGCAGGAAAAGGTGGAGGAATGTAATGGCTCACAGAATTGGCAATGGAGAAAGAGATATTTTAAGGAGGAAAAAAAATAATACTGTATACCCAAATCACTTCAAGTTCTTGTTGACATTGGCACTGTATTCACAAATGGCAAGAGGCAATGGTTTTTATAAGCTGACTAAATGAGAGACAGATGATAGAATAAAAATAGAGGCAAAGAGATTGTGCAATTTGTTGCACAATTTTAATGACTGAGCTGGGAATAGAGACTGAATCTCCTAATTTCCAGACCAGGGTGCTATTCATTATCATAGCTATGTGGTCAGATCCAGCCCAGGCCTGGATGCATTCAGTGAAATGATTACTTTTGGCCTAGGCAAAGTAATTTTTGGTCACTGACTGGTCAAACAGACAGATGAGGTCTGAGGCCTAGTATGTCCGTTCACTCCAGAGTATTCAAGGAACAGGTAACCTGTCATGTACGCATTGCTGTGTAAGCTGTCAGCAGGGTTTAAATACAGGAATTTTACTTTCATAGGAAGCCAGGTTAGTTCAACCTAAGCAGCCTTGCAGGCCAGATTGGGGTGTTGGGAACTCACAACATTGCCCCCTTCCCCCTAAGTTGCCATATCACCTTGGCAAGTGTTGACCATGCTGCCTACATCTGTCACACCTGCCCCACAAAGACAAGAAGGTAATTTGGGAGTGGAGGGCTCTGCTCTGCTCTCCTGTTGATCTGCCTGAGCACAGCTATTCACACTCTGACAGCAGACCCCACACTTCCATTCAACCCATCCTCTCTTCGTAGAGGAAGCGGGCCATGGTCTGCCAGTTGGACCATACTGCATTGTTATAGAGGTAATTAATCTGACAGCAGATGGGCTTTTTTCCCTTTCAGGACCCACTGCTCAGCATGAGAAAAGAGGAATATAATTGCTGAACCTGTGATAAATGTTGTCCTCCCTGATACAGAGTTAATTTAAGTGTCTGAGTTTGCAGAGTGCAAATTCACTTTCTGGACACAAAGTCCTTGATTGGTGCTTGGCAAAGTATGTGCCCAGGACCTTTAAGATGCAGCACAGACCATAAAAATTGGAGGGGCAACTGCTAAATTTACAGCACAAGACTGGCGTCCAATTCATAGAAAATAACAGATGTTATATTATATACCAAAACAAATTTTACTTCAGGAAGGAGCTCATTTTAAGACAACAGATGAGCTTCCCACTGTTTTTGAGAGGCAGGCTGGTAAAATGGTAACGTTCAATAATTCAAAATTTAGATTATGTTTCCACTTCTTTTGAAAAACAAATCTGTAAAACATTTTAGATCTCTTTACTGTAAAAGAGAAGGGAGCGATATTTGCCTGTCATCATACTTAGGACTTTAAGGGTGGTAGTGCGAGATCAATGAAATGAATGTCAGCCAATAGAAATAGATGGTAGTCAGGAGGATGCTCTTTACTATCAATCCATTTCTTTTTTTCTTGATTAGAATTCGAGCAACAGAGAAAGTGTTGATGTTTATTTTCATTATATAATAGATCTGGCTGAGATAGTTTTATGACTTCTTCAAACTGATACATGGCAGATTTCACACAGCTTATCAGCACTGATTCCTAGGTCGTCAGAAGTGTTTTAGGAAAAAAATCTGCCTTTGGTGTTTTTGTAAACTCCAGTTTCAGATGAAAGTTTATTTTATTTGAAACAGGATTTTGGGTTGGGTGAGAAGGGAGAGTGTTTATAAATTTTATGTGTTTTCTCTCTTTCTCCTTCCATTTTTCTCTTCAGTTCTATTTAAAATTCTGTGTAACTTGGTTGGAGTCCTAACTAGAGATAAATGTTTAAAAGCTTTTTACAGTATTTGGTTTTAGCTGTTTTCTGTGACTTCTAGTTGGCCAAACTTAAACCACTACAGAGATTATGTAAATTGTGTTAATCGCGATCTGTGTCATATTTGAGATTTTTTTTCTTTGATGGCAAAACCCACTTTTTTTTTAAACTGTCTCAGCTTTTTATCCTTTACAGGCCTTATTTTTGTTATTCTGTTAAGCTACTCATGCAGATATTGATACAATGTTAAGAGACAATGGTGTATACAGGAAGAATGTAGCAGTACAACTTGTTAGGTACAAAGCATGATTAAATACCTTAACTATATTCTAGTTAGGTGTGAGAAAAATCACAGAATCATTTGAGGAAAAAGAATGTAATGCAGGTTCAACTATGACAGCTAACTTTTTCTTTGGTAATTAATATTTCTGGTTTGGTTTTGTTTTTTATTAGGCATTTCAAAGCAGAAACCTTCAAACATTTTAAAAACAAAAAACTGAACTTGTTGGTCTTTCTCTGCTTGTTATTTATTAGATGCTGGATCCATTGTCTTTGAGCAGTCCTGACAACTCTGGCTCGGGAAGCTGTCCCTCACTTGACAGCCCTCTAGATGGGTAAGAATTGCTTAAGTTCATTATTTATCTTTACTAGATTGCATAATGTATCAGTTGTAACATATAACTCTCCAGCGACAGCTATTACTAAACTTCTTCCAGAAATTCCTCTGTAAGTTATAGAACACTTATAAAAGCTTACTGAAACTTAATTGTTTACTAATGCACAGAAAATAGAAGTAGCTTTTTTTTTTACAATTTGCATTTGAAAGACAAACATTTAGACTTCAGATCCTACAAAAACGACTTTTACTAAATTTTTCCAGTCTCACATATATGTGAAGTATATTCCCTGGCAGTGAGCAGCCCCATGAAATTTACATTTCTTAGGTACTGCTATATGAAGTAAGCTTCCCTTTTCCAAGGTTGAGGGTCAAGAAAGAGGGTAGAATCATTTAAAGACTTCAACAGACAGTCCCCTCATTTTCTTTGCAATTACTGTCCATTCTTCTCCCCTTGTTCCCATTGCAGACTTTCCACTTATTTTTCCTTGTTTAAACCTGTCAGTTAGGGAGAGGCAGCGTGTACTGTGGTGGGTCTGGAGATCTATTTTGATTGATCTGTTAGGAGATTCATGTGTTCTGAGAGGGTCACTGTCCACAGTTTCTCAGCCACCAGGTAAGCCAAACAGAACATGCTCCGGTCTGGCTTATGGTTGGTCAGGCAAATAACCTTGGGTCTTATGTTGCTCAGATGGGCTACTCGTTTATTTCGAACGGCTATACAAATAATACTGCTAATTAAATATTTTATTTAATTGGTAGAAAGGTAAAAAGTTGGAAATCATTGCCAGTGGCAATTAATCAGTGCTATAGTATTCCATAGTACCATTTCATTTGAGAATGTGATTTGAGGACACAAATACATTTGGTCTAACAAATACATTTTTGAGTTAAATAATAAGTCTTCATTTCACAAGCAAGAAAACAAGAGACATGAAAAGTATTTTGTGGTTGGAGTGTGATAGGTTATACACCCAGTGTTTAATGTAGCTACAGAGGATAGAAATTCTACCAAATGCCAAATTTTTATTTTTTTGTGGGGTAGGGGTGAGTGGAAGAAGGGGAAATAAAAGCAATCTTAATTTGACTCATGTTTTTTCTCCAAAACTTCTTTTGGCTGTTTTTTTATTTATTTCATTTGTCACGGCTACTTAGTTTGTTTTCCTTTTTTTTTTTTTTCTTCCATTCAAATATTTCCTACAAAGATGTAGGTTTTGTGTCTCCATTTAGCTTCTGTTATCCATTAGAGAAATTCTTACCAGAAAAAGGAGGACATTGTTTTGGTATGTTTATGGAAATAATACTGTAATCGGTTGCTCTGACTGGCAATCCCATCCATTCCTTTTGGTGGCTGGGAGTTACATACCAACTGTAGGTAAGAAACAATGGGATCATGTAAGCACCAAAAAATTCATCATTCTATAACTCAGTAAAGTTGCTCTCTTAATCCTATGATTTTCATGGAGAGAAGAGGAAATATTTTGAGATGTTAAAAGGTTCTGCATTTCTTTGGTTAAATTTCCTCAAGAGTTTTTTTAGGCTGTGTAAGAGATTTTGCCAGTCTATAAACCTTTGTGTTTAGCCATAAAGGTGTTAAACGTAACAGTGCTCCTTTGTGGCTTTACTTGTGATAATTCATGTTTTTACTAATAGCATTGCTCATTAACAGAGTCTGTTGCTTTCTTACTACGTTAAGCTCAATAAGCAAACTTTTCCATTGATACTGATCTTGAATTGTTTTTGATACCTATTAGATTTGATTTTCAAAATTGGGTTCCGCATTTGTAAACTGGTGCAGCAACTTGTATAGCAATAACTTTTCATCAGTCATAAAGAATTGTGAGACGGTAAGATTAAATGTTTAAGTACTAGATTAACAGCAGGTTTTAGATGTTGTATGTTTTTACACTTCCAGAGACAACTATCCCAAATCTCGGATGCCAAGAGCACAGAGCTATCCAGATAATCATCAAGAATTCTCAGGTAGGCAAAAATCACTGGACGTACTAGCTTTCCAAAACTCTTCCTCTTGCAAATAATAGAGCTTAGAAGAGAAGTTCACATTGAGAGGTATTATATTGCACAAACTTAATATGGTAGGAGAAAACAAAGCAACAAAATCTAATCCAAATGCACACAGTAAAAGATAGAATGAAATATAAGATCTTCCAAATGTTTTCTTCTAGATTATCGTGTGTAACGCCACTGTCAGTGTGCGTAGTATAACTTATCTGCTTCTCTGAAAAGAACAAATGACGCAGTGGATAGGGGCACGCATCAGTTTGTTAAACTGGACTGTACTATCCATCTCTAAGTTGGAGCATAACTTTGGTTAATTTATTTAGTTTTGAGAGTTGTTTAACCCCAGCTGGCAACTAAGCACTACGCAGCCGCTCGCTCACTCACCCGCAGTGGGATGGGGGAGAGAATTGGAAGGGTAAAAGTGAGAAAACTCGTGGGTTGAGATAAAGACAGTTTAAAAGGTAAAGCTGTGTATGCAAGCAAAGCAAAACAAGGAATTCATTCACTCCTTCCCTTCGGCAGGCAGGTGTTCAGCCATCTCCGGGAAAGCAGGGTTCCATCATGTGTAATGGTTACCTGGGAAGACAAATGCCATCACTCTGAATGTCCTCCCTTCCTCCTTCTTTCTCCCAGATTTTATTGCTGAGCACAACCTCGTATGGTATGGGATATTCCTTTGATCAGCTGGCGTCAGCTGTCCTGGCTGTGTCCCTACCCAACTTCTTGTGCGCCACCAGCCTACTAGCTGGTGGGGTGGTGTGAGAAATAAAAAAAGCCTTGACTCTGTGTCAGCACTGCTCAGCAGTAACTAAAACATCCCTGTGTTATCAATACTGTTTTGGTCACAAATCCAAAACATAGCACTAGACCAGCTACTATGAAGAAAATTAACTCTATCCCAGCCAAAACCAGTACACAGAGCCTTCATTTTCTCCTGTGTGAAATGAGTATCACTTTGAAGTGCTCATGGCTTCTGTAATTGAAAGCGCTGCAAAGTGAAAGGATGAAGGAGAACTGTCTGCTGTGCCTATAAATTAACTGTCACCGCTAATGTTGTTTTCATACAATAGTCTGGCTTGAATCCAAGTTGTTGTGCATGGTTCAGGATACGAAGTGCAATGGGTAACCTTGAAAGTGCTTTGAAGTGTCTCTCGTGGACATCCCTCACTACAGAATTTTGCTGTTGAACAATAATTAGCTTCCAGTGAATCTGGGGTGTTTTGTGGGTTTTGGTCTATTATATACTTTAAAGCTTCTTTTTATTTTATGAAACTTTATCCAGATAACTGTGTGATGGTGTGTTTCTTCTTTTAAGGATTCTAGAGTGCTTAACAGATTGCACCACTTTGAAATCAAAATAAAACTAAAACTATGTATAAGAATCATTTAAGTGGCAGAGAGAAATACCAAAAAAGTTGGAAATGTCAGAAATTAGTTTGCCTTTGGTAATCTTAATCTAGTTTACTTGTGTTTGTTTATTACAGTTACTTTTCTAATAAGATGATTCTGCAATATTTTTTCGGGGGTTTTTCCTGTGGGATGCTCTGGTATTTTAACAATGGGATAGACAGCAATCATTAATTCCATATTCAATATTTATTCTTATGATCTGATGTGTAACAAAAACAGAATAGTATAGAGTCAGAAAAAAATGTCCATCCAGCCTAGTCTTTTCTCCTCCCACAACCAGTACCAGGCTTCCATAGAGGAGTGTGTAATATTCCTTCCTCAGGATATATTCCTAGTCGTGTATGACTTAAGGGTTCTGCAAATGCAAGATGCTTTTCTGTGATGTGATGGATTTTTTTTTCCTTCCACAAATTTTTTCAGTCCTTATTTCAACTTGTATAAACTTTTTCAGTATCAACAGTATGTTGTGACAAGAAGTTGTGCAACTTCTTGTGTTTTATAAAGAAGTACGCCCTTTGTGATTTTTTTTTTTATAGACCTCTTTGTCTCCCTTTGAGCTATTGCTTTTCTAGTCTATAGAGGCCTACATTCCTTATGGAGAAGCAATTTTGTATCTTTGATCATCTCTGTACTTCTAAATCTTTTCCAGTTTTACTAAATCCTTTGGAATGGAGTAGACCAAAGCTTCGTTCAGTGTATCTTAATGATTTATAGCATTTAATTTGCCGCTTAGCCAATACAGAGAGTTCAGCTGCTGCTTTATTGGAACTCTCTATCACAGTCCTTCACACTTTTCTCTGCCATTTAACATCCAGTCACATAAACTCTTAAGGGCTTTCTGTAATTCTTCTGTTCTTTATTTCTCCAAATGATTTTGTCACGTCACTATTCATTGCTCTGTCCAGAGAATTCATGCATAATTAAACTGCATGAGTTGTAGCCCAGATTCCTGTGGAACTGTTGACCATTTACTCCCATCTTATGTACTGATCCAACTACTTATTTATGCATAAGGGACTTTTCCCTTTATCTTATGAATACTTTCCTCCTTTAATAATTTTTAAGAGGACCTATTGAATGTGTTTTAGTAATTCAAGCTGTGTTGACTCATTTGCCAATTTTTTATATTTATGCATCTTTAAATTTTATTCTTTGTAATAGTTTCTGCCAATTTTCCTGGTGAACTGTAATTTCCCAGAATTCCTCTAGAAACTATTTTTAAAACTGGAGTAATTAGGCATGCTGCAGTCCTCTGACATTCTTTTAAGCAAGAGGTTACAAACCACTTGAGCTATTGAATTCTTGATCCTTCGGCAGTTTTGGCTGAATGTCCTTTTATTTCGTATGGTTTGTTAGATTTGTGGCTTTTGTTCTATAATCTTTTTTGCTCTGATGCTCCAGCTTGAAGCATATCCTCTGATATGTTCCCCATATTTAAGTTTGTAATACCAAACTGATTAATTTAATATGCTTTTGCCACTTTTTAAATTTTGAAATGTATATCTTTATTTTCTAGTAGAGTATGATATCCCAATATTTGAGAAATTTGGAAAGGGGGGGACTTATCCCCGAAGATACCATATTTCATATCATCAACAAGACTACAATGACGGTAAGTGTGAATACTGCAAGAGTTCTACTTGATTAATCTGTTTTTCTCTTCTTAAAAAGCGAAGAAGAAAATTTAGATTGTAAAATCTTAATGAATGAAAATATTGAAGAAATTGAAAGCTTAACTTCTTTCCCCAAACTCACTTGCTAAACTTGTAATGATTGATAGAGCTGCTGAGCAGTCTTACCTCTGGTAAAGTTATGGATTACAGAATTCATGACTCATATGCACAGCTATGAAAATGTTCTCTATCTTTGGCCATGCACAAGTCATCCAGTGTAAGCTTTTGACCTTTGTGACCCTTTTCGATCCAAAGTAGGTATGTCAGTTCGTTTGTCATTTCTTGTTTTGCCTAAAAAAACCCCAAATACAGTGGAGTTCCTGTTAACAGTTTCTCAGATTAAAATAGTAAATAAAATTGAAGAGCAGTGATTTAAACCAAGAATTAACAGCTGGTGAAATCAATTGTTGGAATGCAAGACAGCACCTGCTGATGTGGTCACGAAACTGACTTGGACAGTAATAACATTGGTGTAAATTTAACACGTTAAATTTCCAAGGGAAGGAAAGAGGAGCAGCTGAAGGATTTTCTGACTTGAGTGTGTCAAGCGCTAGTTGAGAAGCGTGAAGAAGACACTTCTCCAAAACCAGATGGTTTCATTTGCAGTATGGAATGAACACAGCAATAAATGGAATTCTGTTACAGAAATCGCAGAAATACCAAACTGAAGGACTGCAAGGCAGCTTCGGTCCAGTCCCTTGCTCTAAGGCAATATTAAAGAGGCAAAGATCTGTCACACTGACTTTTAAGTAAACGCTAAATTGACTTTAAGAGAAGAAATACTCATTTTCTTTACGTAACTAACTTCGAAGATAGCTTATCTTATAACTTTCCTTTCTTTGTCTTCTGAATCATTTTTCCTGCAAATGAAACTAGTAACTAGTTACTCTATTTTAGCACAGTGTAAAATTGGTCACTGCCTATATATAACATTACATCACACACACATCTGTTTTCTTTCCTTAGTTTTCTTCTTTCAGGCCTTAAGCCTTACCTCAGACATTTTTGCAAGCCTTGTATTTTTTTTCTGGTCTCTTCTCCATTCTTGTAGTGGCCAAAACTCAATAGAGTACTACAAAAACATGAGGCTTTTCTCATGGCCACTTTATGTATAACATAGGATATAACCATAACTCGGTATGTAACAGTCATGTTAATATATTCTAGAATGACACTTTACTTTTTTTGATAGTCACCATACTGACTGCTGTTCACTGTTCAGTCTGTGGTCTGTTATAGTTCCTATATCCTTTTCTACGTGCGTTTTAGCCAACCAATTACTTTACACTTTGTGATTTCTGCATTTGATTTCACTTTAAGTATGTGTGTTACTGAATTTCATCTTGTTGATTTCTGAATCATCTCCAACTTACTAATATTGTGAATTTTGATTTTTATCTGTAAATGGACTTCCAGCCGCACTTAACTTGATGTCATCTGCAATATTTCAGTGTGTTATGTTCCATCATACATACATCATCAGTTAAAATAGTGTATGGAAGTGGACTGCAGGTAAACTGCTGTGGGTGTCCATTTAAATTATCCTCCCCTTTGAGGAGAAATCACTGATAACTGTTCTGAATCTGTCTTGGGCATACTCTATGTAGTAAGTTGGGCTATGCAACAGTTCACTAGTTAGCTTATGAGAATATCCTGATGAAATGGGGAAATTGGATTAGCTACATGTGACAAACCAATTATGACTGGTTTATCATCTTATTATTTTCAGTGGTTTATAAAACTGCTTAATGTTTGCATATCTTTCTTGGAATTTAAATTGGCCAGACTGGTGTATAAATCTGAGTCCACTTTTTTGAAGTTATTTTATCTGCCTTCTTCAGTCTCCCGGGAGCTCCTTCTCCAGTGTAATACCTAATGAATCAGAGACTCCTTCAGCTATTTCTGCGTTCTGTAGGGTGAAACTTCATCAAGCTATGCTGACCTAAAAATGTTCGTGTTATCTAAATATATTAACATGAATTGTGTTAGTCATCCGGTTGTAATTAACCTTTTTGAAGATCAATGCCTTTTTTGGCATTCATCAATCAGCCACCTCTGAATTATGCATTGTTTGTGATTTTTTTTTTTTTTTTTTGGTGGTCTTCCTGTTGATTCCATGTATAGCTCTTACTTTGTGTTCAATTCTTATTAGTTTACAGGATGAAGATGCCAGCCAGGGCACCACTGGAATGTAAACATACCTCTCTCCTACTTATTAAAAAAACATTGTATTTATACCTTAATAGAGCAATAAAAGTCGAGGCAGGGCATTTTCCTTTCTCTTCTCAACAGCCCTCCAGGCTTCTGAAGCATGTCGATTACATTTTGGAACAGTTCCAGAATTTGGTCCCAATTGTGGTCACTTAAATGTAAACCAGTTTTTGATTGTCTAATCGTTACATACATCTGTGATGAATGTTTGTTTTCTTCTAGGTGGAAAGTTAAACCAGTAAATTTCATGATCATTACATCATATCATATGCTGTGGAAGATTTGAACTACATTATGTAGAATTCAGAGTATTTGCATACACACATTGTGTAGCAGTATTTTTTGTAGTGTAACATTAGGATTCTTTGTATATCATTGAAGGTCGTAAAACTTTTCCAAGAGCCAGAAGGACTCAGGGGAACAGCTTCCGATCACCAGTTAGTTTCAGTCCCACTGATCACTCACTGAGCACCAGTAGCGGGAGCAGCGTCTTTACGCCGGAATATGAAGATAACCGAATGAGGAGGAGGGGAAGTGACATAGACAATCCTACCTTGTCAGTCATGGACATCAGCCCACCCAGTCGGTGTAAGTTAAGGCATTTTGTGAACTCCACTGTAAAACTCTCTTACGTTTCAAGTATATCATGTCAAAACTAAGCGTGTGATCAAAATACATGCAATTGAATAATATCTTTTTATCTGTCTAATAGGAAAAAGTCAAGACTGTATGCTCGTCAGTTTTTTCATTGCTGACAGTGCCAACCTTCATGTAGATTTTCACATGGAACTTGCATCTGTGATAACAGAACACTGTAAAAATATTTTTGATGATTTGTTAGACTCTTGAGGACCTGAGAAGGGTTATGTAGGTTGCAGTTACTATTTATTTTGGCAGATGTTGGTCAAGTTTTCTGATAAATTGTAGACTTCAAGTGGTACTATTTTATATCTGTAGTAGTATTTCAGGAACAAAGATATTTTGTGATGACTTCAGTAGCTGGTATATTTTAATCATGCCTCAATTTTTTTTAAAAATGTTACTAAGTTTGTTTAACGTGCTTTTTCTGTCTTTCAGATTAGCTGTTGCTAGTTGTTTTAAGGCCGTCTATCTCTGCCATGAATTATTTTGTGAATAAATTTAAGTAGCCCATGTTTTCCGTCTTACAGGAAGTTTTATTGATCTTTGTAACTTATATGGGGAGGTTTAGGACACACGGTCTCTGTTGTTGAAAAACGTAGTCTTTTAAAAAATTATTTTCTGTGTATTCCAGTTTTTCTCGATCAGCTGAATAACAAGCTCATTTGAAAACCAAAACATACTTATATTTTCAGCACCACGAGCTCCAACTAACTGGAGACTTGGTAAACTGCTGGGTCAAGGTGCATTTGGCAGAGTATATCTGTGTTATGATGCCGATACTGGAAGAGAACTGGCTGTTAAACAAGTTCAGTTTGATCCTGATAGTCCAGAAACCAGCAAGGTAAGTGATACCAAAGAGAGAGTTTGTAAAGGGCTTCTGCTAAGTGGTGTGTTCTAGACTAAGCTGATATTCCTTTCCTTGAACAGGATGATGTTTTAAAACACACCATGTTGTGTTTTCATGTCCTTGTTAGGAATCCTGTTTTGTTAGTACCTCAGAGAATTAGTTTGGTTACCTGATTTTAATGTTACATCCCGTCTTTTAATTTTCAGACATATCCTTATGCAGTGAACATGTGTAACTTAATTTGGTGCGGTCTTAGTCTCTAAAATTAAACAATCCATTATGAAGTGTGCTCTGAAATAGATAATTATTTATACTTATAGGAATTAGAACAAGTTCCATTTATAAACAGAAAAATCTGTACTAATTTAAGTGTTCCTGAAAATAAATTCTCGAAGATGCTTTGTTTGGCTATGAAGACAAGTTTGAGATTCTTATCTTTTTTTATCTTTTAGAGGGATTTGGTTTTGTGGTTTTTATTTTTTTAAACCTTTGGGCATTAGGGCTAGCTACTGTTATTTGCTGTATTTCTCTCTGAAGAACAAAAGTTTCACTGTCAGTTTATTCTCTCTCTAAAATTGAACTTGTCCTTCTTTAAATACTGGACACTTGAGGAGAGAAACTATTTAAAAGTAGCACCCATCTTCTATTTCTTTTTTTCCCAAACCATACTTGCTGCTTCTTACAGGATGGAAAAAGAATTATTACTTTTCCTGTATTAGGACTGTGTTCTGCACTGTGGGAAGCAAGGTTTAATGATTTTTTTTTTTTACCCAATTGGAGGCTTGTGACATGTTGCATAATGATCACTGACTTCATACACATATTGATAACTGCTGTTCTCTGAAACAAACATAACTTCAAGATAAGAGAAACAATGAAGTAACAGCAAAATCACCCCAAAGTCATATTCTAGAAAAGCCATAGGTTTTTTTTTACTTCCCTCAATCTAATGGTGATATTTTCTTGTTATAAGATGTATAAAATTTATATAAGCTACAAGAGTATTTTGTTACTTAGTTTGCATAACCCTTCAATATGTGCATACTGTCCTGCTTTAAAAAAAACCCAATCCAAAACTTTATTATTACTACATCAAGCATGGTAAATCTTGTCTGTTTTTTCCTTTTAGGAAGTAAATGCACTTGAATGTGAGATTCAGTTGCTGAAAAATCTGCTGCATGAAAGAATTGTTCAGTATTATGGTTTCTTGAGAGATCCACCAGAAAGAACACTCTCTATATTCATGGAATATATGCCTGGGGTAAGTAAGAAAGCCAGTCCACTTCAACCATCATTTCTACGCAGTGTGACTGACGAGCACCCAAGTAGACAGCTTTTGCGGAAGTGCACACCGATATTAAAGCAATGTCCAAGTTAAAACCAAATGCTTACAGGACCCTATCTTCTCCATTGCTTGTTTGGGTTTTCAGAATTAGTGGTTTGTACAAAAGTTGTTTGCATTTGATTTTGGCATAAAGAAGTGCCTGGCAATGTCCTTGAAAAGACAATATTATCACTAGTAAACTCTTGAATCTTCCTGAATTTTAATGTGGTTTTGCTGTGCTTCAGCTTGTGCTGTTGTGTAGTCACCATCTCAACTGCTCAATTATTTCGGGAAAACAAAAAGTAGCCAAGATGGATGTGGGAATAAGTGCATACAGAAAATAATCTTGGTGCTTGTTTTTTGTGTGGCACTTAGGTACACGATGAACTGTCTTCTACTCTTACTGTTTTGTTAAGAAATATTACAAGGTCAGAAAATTGCAGATTTTCATTTTCTCACCAAGTGGGGTCAGCAGAGCTAAATAAAATCATAGAATCATTAAGGTTGGAAGAGACCTCCAAGATCATCGAGTCCAACCGTCAACCCAACACCACCATGCCCACTGAACCATGTCCCTAAGCGCCTCATCTACACATCTTTTAAATACCTCCAGGGATGGTGACTCAACCACTTCCCTGGGCAGCCTGTTCCAATGTTTAACCACTCTTTCAGTAAAGAAATTTTTCCTTACATCCAATCTAAACCTCCCCTGGCGCAACTTGAGGCCATTTGCTCTTGTCCTATCACTTGTTACTTGGGAGAAGAGACCAACACCCAGCTCGCTACAACCTCCTTTCAGGTAGTTGTAGAGAGGAATGTGCTCATAAAATATAATAAAATGTGCTCATATAAAAACATAGGCTCTGTATTTCTGAGTAGTTACAGCATTCTACTTTACTGTGCAACTCCAGAGAAGAAAAGTGGGGGGGAGGGGGCGGTGGCGTTGTTTCTGGTGGTGGGGGTTTTTTGGTTGGTTGGTTTTTGTTGTGTTTTTTTAATGTGAGTTCTGGGCTTTGTTTTGGGGGGCTTGTTGAATGTTTCTGAGACTTGGAGGACAGTGTCACAGAAGTAATCTTAGCAGTTTGTAACTCTGTGTGACAAAGCCAGGTTATATAGAAACAGTTACGAAACCATGAATTTTTGATTTCATGTCATTTTAAGCCAAGACTTGCTTACCTCTTAATTTTTACATAAAGCACCATCCTCCAGCATGTGGTGGTTTTTTCTTGAAAACCGTTTTTTTTCCTGAGTGTAAACTAACCAAGGTAAATGGCACATATTTTGTCCAACTTGAGTATCGCCATTTAACCATCAAAAAAGTTGAATGGTGTTTGAGTGAAAATACTGCTGTTCTTTTGCTGTACATCACACTGGTGAACTATTCAGCCGCTTGACAGTTTTAAAGTTAATAACTTAACGTTTCAGTATATGACTTCTCTGTCCAGCCTCTTTTTTTGTCAAAGTTTGTATTTTTCTCAGTGGAGGTAAAACTATATTTGTGCTTTTAAGCTCATCTGGAGAACTATTGCAACTTTAAATGTTTACGTTTTGGGAATAAATTTCATTGAAGTTCAACTGTAGTATTAGCCCACTTGTGATTCTAGAAATGTTACAGTGTTTTATACTTCTTGTTTGCCATAGGGTTCCATCAAAGACCAACTGAAATCATATGGAGCGCTCACAGAGAATGTGACTCGTAAATATACACGGCAGATTTTGGAAGGAGTTCACTATTTGCACAGTAATATGATTGTCCATCGAGATATTAAAGGTAACGATAGTTCTGTGCACAGTTCAGTGCTCTTTACTACAAATTCTTTTCTAGTCTTGTGTGAAGCGCTAAAACGTAATTAAGTTTGAAGTGCCAAAATACTGACTTAAAATAAATGATGGAAAGCAACCTCATTGATTCCTGTCACTATTGTAACCCGAGGGGGAAAATATAAGCATCTTTGATGTTCTAGCAGACTTCTGAAAATGTTTCCGTAGTCTCTGTCTGCAAAACAATCATGATAAATTTCTTTCTGATTTTAGTTTAGTATTAACAATTTCAGATATATCAAAGGATGATGTCATTAGAAATAGATAGAACGTGCAGAGGAAAGCATCATGACTCAAAAGTTTATTTTTACAGCATTTTGTTTCTATCAGTTACATAGAAATCACCCAGCACTTCACTGGTACAAGAAATGACTGGCAGAGGTGACTTGCCTCATCAACTGACTCAGACTTCTTCCATTTTACTGCCAGGAAACCCAAGGAAACAGACATATTTACTTTTTGCAGATAGATATAAGTGGCTTGCAAGTACTACATAAGTTACAAATATGTAGGAAGATGGTGATGTGCAAAATAGGTGTGTTGAACAGAATGCTGTTGTATTCCCTAAAACTTTTACAATTTTCCTTGTTGCTTTGTATCAATAGAGTTTTGTTCCAAAAAGGTTGAGATATCACGGTCAGTTTGTACATACTTATGCAGATAAGTGTTTTGAACAAATTAGTAACAGTTTGAGATTTTGCTTTAATATAGTACGAAGACATTTTCAGTTGTGTGGAAACGTCTTTCCCGTTTCTTTTTATTTCCCTTGTATGGCACATTCCTTATTTTGTCAGGAAGGCTTTACAAAGTGACGGGACTTCCCTGGAAAGGCCTAGCAGGCAAACCAGTGTGTACAATTCATTATTTTCTGAACCTCAGAATAAAGTAATAAGAATGAGCAGAGAAAGTAAATTTGCTGGCTTGAAATACTAGGCTGATCTTGCATTGTATCACTGAATCCAAACTTTTGCTACCGTTTTCCACACCAAAATGTTAATGGGCCTTTCGTGAATGTAACACTGTGTTCCCTTCCTTCCAGGAGCAAATATTCTGCGAGATTCAGCAGGCAATGTGAAGCTCGGTGACTTTGGTGCCAGCAAACGACTGCAGACGATATGTCTCTCTGGTACAGGAATGAAGTCTGTCACAGGAACTCCATACTGGATGAGTCCGGAAGTTATTAGTGGAGAAGGGTATGGCAGAAAAGCAGATATCTGGTATGTTGAAAAAAACTTCTCTACTGAAAGGTGTCATGTCAGAATGGGCTCTTTTTCAACAGAGTGTAAGTGTGTGTGTTCTGAAGTTGGAGTGTTTCATTCTGGGGTTTAAGCTGAAGAAGGTGGCAAGTGTGAGCACTGACAGTCGTATTTGGAGAGCGTAATACTGAAATTTAGGAATTTTTCATTTGGCAATTCCTCAGCCCGTTGATATAGGGATCGTAAGAGAATCCTTTGAACTGACCTTGCATGAAGTTAGGATTACCAGACTGTGTGTAAATCGTGGAGAGGTACGGGGTGAAAGCAACATGTGAAGCTTTGAAGCATCAGTTAAGTCAATGTCCTGTAATGAAACTTTATCACTGAAAATACCTTTGATGCAAGGCAGAAAACAAAATGCTGGCTCTTTAAAAGATGAGCATGTAAGAATGAATTAGCCAGATTTAAATGGAAGGTATCAAAAAATAATTTGGTTTAAGTTGTTACTAGATATTTAAGAATTAAGAGGGAAAGGTAAATTTCAAAAATGGATGTTTGTGGTACATTGTGTAATATGACTTCTTTCCCGTTGAAAGAAGCTATGACATAGTCTAACGTAGCTCCAGCCCAATGGACAGATGATTTTAGCGATTAGAATCCTTGCACCGCAGGTGACTTGCAAACACACAGAGTAATAGGTAGGCAACAGTAGATACGCAGGAGGAGAAACACTTTGTGTGTTTAAAAAGGAACCACATCATATCCAACCAATGACAATACTTTTAATGTCAGGGAAATTAATTTAGCCTACTTCAGATCACTTAGTAATTATTCTGCTATACTTGAATAATAGAACAGCCTTACAGATTTCAGGCAGTTGAAGGCTAATGCGTGTTTTTTGATGGAGGAAAATCCTGGTTAAAACTAAGAAAAAATGCTGAAGTTTGACTTCTGTCAGTCAGTAAATCCATACTGTGTAAAGAAATGTACCTCTGTCTAACCATAAAACTTCTTGCAAACATCTTGAAAAACCATAAAACTTCCTGAAAATTGGGAAATTATTCCGACCTATCCATTTTGCAGTATCATTTGCTTGTTATTGGAAGAGGCTGATCTTGCAGGACTTAAGGAACAAAGTTTTTCTGGCCATATGCATGCCTTTCTGCCTTCCTAAATCCTTTAAACATGAGCTTTGTATGCAAGGATTGTTTAGGATCTTAAAACTTTGTTTGGCAATCTAAGTATATTTTTAGTATCCTCAACTAAAAGGACATACGGTTTTAAACTTTTCAGCTGCCATGTTGTGTTTGCACATTATTAATGGGTGATAGCTTGTGCATTTCTAATGAGCTAGCAATATATGCAGTATACTCAAAGCATTCCTGTTGCTTTGCATTTTGGTTAGGCCTTAATGAGCAAGAAAGCTTTCAAGTGCATTCAAATCCTGCAGGTGTCTGAAGAGCTGGGGTACAAGGGTTGTGCAGCACTTGTGGCCTCTATCAGCCTGCTGAGCACTAAACAGCAGCAGTGCCATAACGCAGTTGGTATTGCCTAGATAAATATCTAATTATCTCTTCACTGAGGTAGTAGCTTTTGGCCCAGTGAAGTAATAAAGTGAAGATGTAGGTGGTGATTTGTGTAACTTTGAGATAAAGTGTATAGCTGTACATGCAATTTTTTTATAAACACCTGTTTTCCGCTGAAGTTGCTCTGTAGAGTTAAGTGGACGCTACTTATTTGTGGTATTTTAGTTGCTCTCTGCTATTTCTTGTTTTCCCAGAAGGGCGTGATTCTGTTGTAACCTGCTGTTTCACTTCTGCCTCTGTTTCAGGAGTGTAGGTTGTACAGTGGTAGAAATGCTCACTGAGAAGCCCCCGTGGGCAGAGTTCGAAGCAATGGCTGCCATCTTTAAAATTGCCACTCAGCCAACCAACCCCCAGCTACCACCTCATGTCTCCGACCATGCTCGGGATTTCTTGAAACGGATTTTTATCGAGGCCAAGCTGCGACCATTTGCAGATGAACTGCTAAGACACACGTTTGCACACTATCACTAACAGCCTGCCTCAACTCAGCTTGCATCTACTGCATTTATTTTCTATTTGACTGCACTTTTATTTTTATTTTTTACAAGAAAAGGAGAAAAAAGACAAGAGAGAGAATATTCTCTTGAATCTTTGTTTCACTTAGGTTGTAAACAATCTAAATTTTGTACCTAAAATGAGAATCTTCTCTCCCCCACTCCCACCAGGACTAGAACTTTTTGTTTCTATAATGTACTGATGTGGTTCATGTAGATAAAGCACTTTAGTACATATTTGTTCCTTATTTAAAGGGGAAAAAAAAAAAAGGCAAATGCTTGGACAGTCAGGAACTGTGTGACTTTTTCTGACACCGCTGACTGACTCAGGGTGCAGGGAAAAATAGACATGCAGCTAAAAGACAAGAAGGTTACTTCTCTGTGATTCTTCTTTATATCGTAGGTACTTGCGGCAGAGAGTTCTAAGTTCTTATTACATTTTAGCATTTTAATCAGTTTCTGGATTTCGCAGTTTAAGCTGGAACATGCAGTCCTGAGAGTTAATGATAAAGCTGGAAGAACTTGGAACTCTTTGTACGGTAGCGTGTCTAACCGGTACTTCCATGTGACCAAAAGAAAATAACAAAAAAGAACTCAACACTGATGTACTAGTTAGAGGTTTTGGTGTAGAACTATTGTATTATCTTAACAGGAATATAATTACAGGTAAACAGATTATGGACCCAGACTCCTAGGAACTATTATACTGCAAGGGGAAAATTTCCATAGACAAGGGTCAGCTGTTGGATGTAAATATTTAGGAGAATGCCTCCTGCTGTATCTGCCAAAGAGAACCTCTGTTGCATAAGCTTGGAGGGAGACGGTTATCTTAGATAAGAATAAATAGTGATGTTGAGAGTCAGTTCTCCTCCACAATCCCATTAATGGCTGGAGAGGAAGGGGAGTGACTAATCCTTGTGCGGTATACGAGTTACTTGATTCAGAATGAGCTATAAGAAATGTTTTCAAAGCTGTTGAAAGGTGCTAGGATGGAATGTATGTCAACATCAAGTGCCTGAACAATATAAAATTCTTCCCGATATGCACTAAAAAAATTGTTTTAGTAACACAGTTCAGTGATCTAGGATATGTTGAAAATTCCTGAAATGAAGTTAAACATCTCTTAACACCAGGAATAAGTCACTGAGAAAGATAAGAGTCCAGTTACATTTTTTTAATGAGGTAGCGATGATGAATCCTCATGAACAAGGAGGCACAGCACAAAAGATTGTATGAAGAATAGGCCAAAAGCGCAAAGAGAGCCAGCAATTAAATAACATGAGCGTGATTACTCCAGCCTGATAATCCAGATGATTGGTGTTTGTCAGATTTCCAACTGTCATAAAACATACATTAATCACGTTTTCCATTTCTGCAAGAGTATTATAAAAGAACAAAAGTAAAACTCTGAAATACTGCTTCTCAATCGAGAAATCCAGGTATTGATCAGGTGTAGTGAATTTTTGTAGAGGAACACAACATAAATAATTTAAAAGGGTATTTGGAAATAAACTGTTGGACTACAGAACTGAAATAACGTATACTGTTTTGGATGATTCATTGCTTGCTGCTGTTGTTTTGTAAAGGCAGAGCGGGCTGGTACTGTGAACCTTGTCCACTCTGACAAGGCTCTACCTGTTTTGCATCTTTACAGGACTCTCAGAATTATGAAGTGCATGGAGATAGAACAATAAGCTTATCCATTCCCATGGTAGTTCACTCGTGAGATTTCTGAATTTATTCTGCTGACTTCCAAAGTTTGTACCAGAGCATAAGGCAGGAGTACGGATCTATCCTAATCACTTTACCTGTAGTGGAGTAAGACTGATTTTTTTTTTTTTGAGGCCATCTCTCCTGAGACTGAGTGGTGCCTCCATCGGTTTATGTGAATATTTTACCCAGCTTACAATTTTCTCGGTCAGGATACACAACTGTGCAAGGTTTTCTGAGCGTGGTAAGAACTAGTCAGACAGGGCAAGTTTAGAAGGCTGAAAGGAAAGTCAGCTTGTACTGACTTTTTTTTTTGCTTCTCTGTCACTAGATAAAAGCTATGAAAGCAGCCTTTAAAGAGAATTGGTATGTACTCTGCTGTAAAGGACCTTTGCTTTATAAGCAAAATTTAGTGACAGCAGGGATGGGAAGTTTAATGTAGAGCCTAATAGTTTGTGTAGGAAATTTAAAGATCATATAACGGAAATGATTGATTTCAATCAGATTAAGAAGGTACCAAAACCGGGGTGAAAATGTATACCAAAATCAGGAGTGGACAGTGATATGTGAAAAGGTAAGGAAATTTTATATTACCAAAAAAAGGACATTAAAGGGAAAATGTAACCAGGTTTATCTGTAGCGTTCATAACATTTAAATATACTACTATAAAAAGAAACTGCACTCTCCGAAGCTTGAAAATTTTCAGAATCTAGTTTTCTTATAATGTGTCCTTTTTGTGAGACAGTGCTGGCTCATGTGTATCGCAATATCACTTCCTCATTGTGATTCTTAATTACTGAATAATTGAGTTTGCTGCTTTTGTGCCTTTTCTAAAAAATGGCATTCAGTCATGACAACGGTAAGCATTTTGGAGCGAGGAAAAAAAGAATTTGCAGACTGCATTTTCCTTAATTTCTTTGACATATCAGAAAGCGGTCAATGTAAAGATAGTGCTTCTTAAATGAAGATGACATTTGCCAGTTCCAGTGATTCTAGTAAAATTTTATTAATTTAACCAAGATTAGGCTTGAGCTGTTTTTTTTTCCACCCTATGGAGAATTTGTCTACTGACTTAAGCAACTTACAGTAAATTACATGGTTATTAACGTAAATGTTTTGAGCTAGAAATAATTATGAAGCTAAATCAGACTTTTACCAAAAGGTTAGCTGATCTTTAGCCCCTATTGGGACAGTGTAGTAAAACAAGCTGCATTAAATAACGTGGTACCCCCGTATGCAATGTCTGTGCGACACTTGCACTAACTACTGGCGTGATAATGAACAAACCCTAGTTCTGGAATTTGAGAGGGCGCGTGGAATTGCACACTTAAAACTCCATTGGAGGAGGCTTGCAGAGCCAAGATCCCTGCTCACAACTTCTAATATCTTACCAACAAAGATACCAGCATTTTAGAATCATGAATTATTCTTAATTGTTGAATCCAATTACTAGAAAACACCGATGAAAACAATACTGTTGCAGGGTTGTTCTGCTTTTCTGTAAATGCCATGATGAAGCTATGCTCTCGAAAAATAAGGATCGAGGTTCGCACTGAGTGTGCATATTTTCAAAGGACTGACTTGCCTGCTAATGAATTTTATCATTCTGTTTGTTGCATGTATTAAGTAACAAAAGTCAAGCTACTTCTGTACCATGGTTTTAATGGTGTAACTAACTGTCCTTTTAGAGTGCGACTGAAAGTTTCAGTTGTGTTAGAGCAAGTTGTTCATTTTTAATTTGGGTGATAGAAATATCCACGCAAGGACTTTAAAAGGTATGGATCTGGTAACTGCAAAGCTAAATCTACATAGACTTTTTTTCCTTGACCGTTTAAATATAGTCTTAAAATTTTAACTTGATTTGCAATTCGCTTTGTAGCTGAACAGTCCTTTCAGTATAACAAAATGAAAAGTTATTAGTGTTGGTTTTTTTAGCTAGTGCCTTTTTATCTGTATGCCTTAATTTTGTTGATATTAGAACACCATATTGAAATATGTCATACAATTCCATGTCACCAAAACAGTCTTAGAGTATGGGTTTTTTCAAAGTGCCCAAACCGGAATTCGCCTAACTGCACTGGAAAGTGTACTTTAGTTATAATCCGCTGCAGACATTTAAATTGAGACTTTTACAAAGTGATTTTTGGAGCGCTGCCCGAAGGCTTCCTCTGCTAATACAGGTTTTGTATCCGCATTTTGGAGATTGTACACTGCTGCGCATACCAGAAAAAGGACTTTTCTGCACTCAGAGAAATACTATTAGAGTCGAGATTTAGCTTCCTGGCTCTGGGTACTAGACTCTGGGTTTACTGTAGAGACCGCAGCAGCGTTCTTAATGGACTTGAAATTATAGTCGGTACATTTGTAAACGTGGTACTGTGTTAAAAGCTGTTTACTTTCAATACACAGGGATAGGATGTGACTAAGCAAATCAACAGGTTTCTCAGTGAAGCTAGTGTCGTGCCCATGAAATTCTCTCCTGTGTCTCTTGGATAATCCTAATCCTGCCGTTGTCTTGACTGAAAGCCTTGTAGCACCTGTAGGTACAGCGCAGTACAGCAAGCCATTCTTTCGGACAACATAGAGCAATGTCTAACTGCAGCTTCAGAGACTTGAGCAAATTGGTGAGATCTACAGTTATTTATAACCAATTTCTTACTTTTTTAATCTCGAAAGTCTTTGTCACGCATATAGAAAAGCATAATGTTTGTGTTTGAATGTAAGTCCCTCTGGTGTTTCTGGAAAAGCAGAAGTATTGCCGCCAGTATCATTTCTTCTTGCTGGTGACTTGCTGTCTTGTGTTAATGACAAGTCTGCAGTGTAAAATCACATACAATTACCAAAGCTTTTCTATCCCCATATAGACATATAGCCAAAAGTGATGTTTATGGGTTAGTACTGTTACCTATAGATACATATATATCCATCAGTAAGCTATTGCTAACTGAGTAAAGCAGGTACTAGTAAAAAGTGATAGACGCTGCCCATATTTAAGAGATTTGGGTGTTTATAGTTGCTGTTTTGATGTGCAAAATTCATGCCCGCATTAAAACTAAGAGTTTGCTTTTTAAAACTCTTTTTAACTTAATCTTATAGCTGTCATTCTAAAATTAATGCATAAGCTTGGTGACTAAACCTGGTGGCTTTTATAGCCAGGTTTGAGCTTTGGGACATTTCAGTAAGCCCGGGAAGATAAGTAGATCTG